CGACTTTTCCTTTAAACGCTTCTAGAACCGCGATGCTGCCTTCATTTTATTTTCAGCCACTATCGGTATAACCACAGAGGGCGATGTTAGCCTCTTTCTGTTTGCTTTAAATGTTCAACATGAGCAGAGAGTGAAATGCTGATGCTTTGGCCTCGACGGCGCTGAAAGCCGAACCCTCCGCTGCCGCTGTTCTCTTCACCATCACCTCTTCACCTGCTGCTCTGCTTTGCTGCCTGCAATCATTTATTCCTCTAGTTGAAAAGCTTGATTCATCTTTTGAAGGTGATGTTTAGCACTTTGGAGGAATAAGACGATGTAGGGAGGTAAAACCAACCATGTTGGATTAATAGATGATGTTCTAGTGCTGAGAAATGGACTCTGGCTGAATCCAGATGTTGTCAGTGTTGGAAAGGACTGAAAATGCTCCTAGAAGGGAGTGATAAAGCATGGTGGTGGCTGAGGTATGATCTTTAAATGTTCTTTTTCCATTTCCCTGGTTTATTTCAAATAGAAACATGAAAAATTATTCCTATTGGCTGAAGTCAGAATTTGAGCTGAATAGATGCATAAATGAAAGCAACAGCTGCTGTGGTTCTGAAGAATGTCTCACATTCTGCTCACCTCAGAAACTCCAGACTCTGTTCTATAACTTCATCACCTCCTCTTCTTCATCATCATCAGATCGTCTTATGATGTTTTTAAAGGAAAAAATCTTTAAAATAGCCTTTGATGATCTGACTGACTCCTCAGCAGTTCATCCATTTTTCCAGAATTTATTTTGGGTCAGAAGTTCCCACGCTGTTCTGCGATATGACGTGGCGTCCATCTTGAATGGGTCCAACCTAGCAAACAATCAAAGTGTTAAAGATGGATTTCATGGATACTCAGAGGCGACCGGCATCCAGCTCACCTCAGACACCAGTGGAAACGCCTCATAAGGTGGAAAACAAACACCTTTTTAGGTACGAGCGCGACCAGAAGAGAGCTGCAGTTATGTGTTTTGGCCACAGGTGGCAGCATCCCCAGAAAACAGAGCAGGAGAAGAAGTTGGTTTTATTACCGGAGATTCTGGTTTCTGGGTTTTGTTCAAACTGATTCAGATGTAATCCAGTTCCAACCAGCTTTACCCGGTTGCTAAAGGCATTAGTTAGTTTTCTATGGAGGGCAGCGCCATGCACAAAAAGTTTCTTCAGCCTTTCAGTCAGTGGCCTGCTTCCTTCACTGCCTTCCTGTCCTGTTGCTGTTTGAAGGCATCAGACTGATGTGTTTCCCTTTTAAGCATTCGGTTCCAGGTGGGAAAAGTTCTAAATCAGTCCAGTTCTAAACTGAACTGATTCGTGTTTATGATTCTCTAGAAATTCTAAGTTAATTCCGGATCCTTTCAGACAACCATCAGAGAAGATTTCAGGGTGGTCAAGTGGTGACAGATGTGAAACTTGGGACGGTTTTCCTCGGCGTCTCCAGGTGTGAAACTCAGGACGGTTTTCCTCGGCGTCTCCAGGTTTGTAACTTGGGACGGTTTTCCTCGGCGTCTCCAGGTGTGAAACTCGGGACGGTTTTCCTTGGCGTCTCAAGGTGTGAAACTCGTGACGGTTTTCCTCGGCGTCTCCAGGTTTGTAACTCGGGATGGTTTTCCTCGGCGTCTCCAGGGATGAAACTTAGGACGGTTTTCCTCTGCGTCTCCAGGTGTGAAACTCGGGATGGTTTTTCTCGGCATCTCCAGGTTTGAAACTCTGGACGGTTTTCTGTTCTTCTTTTCCAGCTAACCTGAATCCCTCCCGACCTTGACGTTTAGAGATCAACAGTTAAATCCTTCCAAACTATAAACCTAACCCCCTTCCCACTGTTTACTATTTTTGTTGAATAAATTTGTGGACTAATAGGGTTGAAGGACGTATGCGGATAAAAACCTTTAGCTTTCTAAATAATATTTTTTCCTTGAATCAAAATGATCGGACAAAAAGAATAGAGAATTTTGTAGCTCGTTTAAGAAGGCAACACTGAACAGACTCCTGAGAGAAAAAGGAAAATATTCACATTTACAGAGCAAATGTTTGTCAACAGGAACATATGTCTCTGTTTCCCAACATAACAAAACCTTCGCTTGACATCTCGTAGCAATAAATGAATCATTTTTAGGATGAAATTTATTCAGCTTTGAAACGTCCAGCAATAAATAACCTTGGATATTATCAGACCAAAAAACGAGTCTTTCTGAGGAGCTTTCAAAAGAATAAAAGCCTTTCTGCGGCTCTTTCAGCAGGTTTTCCATGTTTGCCTGATAAAGACATCAGTGGGGGAGGCATCAGGACTCTAAATAACAAACCACCAATGGATCCTACTGCCCATAAATCGCAGCGCCTCACAATAGCTGTCTCCTGTTCAGAGCAGTGGGTATAGAAGTAAATTACTTCTAAGATGAAATATTTGTGTCAAGGTGAAATATGTGATGGAAAAATGATGAAAAGGTTAAAAACTACAAGATAAAATGGAGACAAAATGTCTTTGATCTGACAATGACCTCCATGAAAACAGAGCTGAGGTTTTTCTGCCGGCAGATTGAGCTCAGAAATGACCAAAGCCTCATCCGCCCAATTAAACCGACTAAAAAAAACTTTACAGGTTGTTTTTTTTTTTTTCATGGTTTAGTATAGACAGAAAATGCTCTGTGTTGCTGGTCGTTTGTGTTTTTCCGAGCTAACGGAGCTCCAGAAATATTCTCCATCCCAAACCAGCACCCTGTGGACCAGTAAGTGGATCAGTGAGCGGGTGATGAGCCTGGATCAGTGAGCGGATGCAGTGCGGAGGCCTGACCAGTGAGCGGATGCAGAGGCCTGTG